GTATCAGCCTTTAGCTTGATAAAATCTGACCCAATTCCTGTTTCAACATAGGAGAACTAAATAACCATCCAACTGTACTCAAGTCAGACCCTCCTTAATTTATTGTAGCAATTTAAAAAAAAAAAAAGATTTATATACTTGAAAGAATTAGGGGCCAGAGTTGTGTTGTCTCAGGTTAAGTTGCCACTTGCAATGTCAGCATCACATGAGTGCCAATTTGTGTCCTGGCTGCTCCACTTCCAGTCCAGCTCCCTGCTGATGTACCTGGGAAAGCTGAAGAAAATTACTCAAGTACTTGGACCTTCTCAGCTATGCAGAAAACTTGGATGAATTCCAGGCTCCTCTTGCCTTCACCTAGCCCAGCCCCAGCCCCTGCTGCTTTGGCTGTTTGGAAAGCAAACCAGTGGATAGAAAATTCTCTCTCTCTTTCATTCTGTTTCTCTCTCACACCTTCCCTCTCCCCACCCATCTCCCTACCCTCGCTTCTCTAACTTTGTCTTCAAATAAATAGAGCTTTGTGGTACAGTGGTTAAAGAAAGTTGTTCAAATCCTGGCTGTTCCCCAATCCAGCTGTGTGCTAATGTCCTGAGAAAAGCAGTGGAATGTGGTCGAAGTGCCTTGGTCCTCACCACCCGTGTGCATGGCATGATGATGCTCCTGGCTTCTGCCTTTGGCCTAACCCACCCTGGCCATTGCAGCCATTTGGGGCATGACCCAGCGGATGGAAAAAAGTCTCTGCTTCTCTGTGATTCTGTCTCTGTAATTCTTTGAAATAAATAAATAGAGCTGAGTGAAAAATCTTCCATCTGCTGATGCACTCCCCAAATGGCCACAATGACTAGGTCAGATCCAAGCCAGGAGCATAGAATTCCACCAGTCTACATGGCAGAGGCCCAGATACTTGAGTCATCGACCATTGCTTTCCCATATAGATTTGGCAGGAGTCGGATTGGAAATAAAATATGCTGGGCTGGAGCAGGTGCCTGTTATGGGATAGCTGGCATTGCCAGGGATAGCTTAACCCACTGTGTTACAATCCTAGCTAGAAAGTTAGTCTTTGGTGCAGTGATATTAGGTGTGTGTCTACTGTAAATGTAATTATTACATATGTTTTCCAGAAATATACACTGTAGAATATACGAAACACTCCATAAATGCTTCCTTTAAAATGTGCTCATATGCATCTCTCTCTCCCCATACTGTTCATTATTTTTATAAGTTGGGATGTTTTCCAAAGTTACTAACTTTGCATGATGCTTGTTTGTTCTGTGTTGCAAGAGCTTATTTTGGAAATCTTTCTCTCTGTGAGTATTGATGGTTAGTAGTCATGGATTGGTCGTCGTTGGACCTTGTTGAAGAAACATGTGGTGTTAGGGTAGCTCTGTCATAAATAATGTTTTTTTAATCAGTTTAACTATAGCTTAGTAACAAGAGCTTGATAATTATTACCATTTAGACTGATTAATGTCTGTATCTAGCATTTCAACAGTCTTCTCTGGAGATTTGGATGATCAAACAGAATGTGGTGTGCAATGGGGAAGGGGTCTGAGAGAAATGACACAATCATGGAAGATTTTAAAGTTTGTTCTCTCCTGTAAGCTATGCAGCCACAACTGCTCAGGATTTTTGAAGTCACTGGTAGCCACTGAAACACAGCAGCTTCACTCAAGTCGCATTAATAATACTGCTTAAAATCTTTGAGAAGTAACATAGATGAGTTAGGATTTTGAGTTTTCCTTTCAAGACAAGCAGAATCATCCAGGACAGTGTCCCATGTGTTTCCCTCTTGTCCTTAAACTTATTTAGAGAAGTTGAGAGAATAATCCTTTTATAATCTGACAGTTTAACACGTAATTATTTGGCAAGGCAGTCTGTTAAGACTGAAACCGGATTCTCTCTTCCTCAGACTAAGCCTTGAGACTTGTCATAATCATTTAGCCTAATTAAGTTAACCATTATCCTGGTTTTTTTTTCCTCAAAATATTCTCATCTTTGTCAGCTTAAATGCCAGTTGGAGATTTACAAATACACAGACCGGGACCCGGCAGCATGGCCTAGTGGCTAAAGTCCTCGCCTTGAACGCACTGGGATCCCATATAGGCGCCGGTTCTAATCCCGGTGGCCCTGCTTCCCATCCAGCTCCCTTCCTGTGGCCTGGGAAAGCAGTCGAGGACGGCCCAAAGCTTTGGGACTCTGCACCCATGTAGGAGACCCGGAAGAAGTTCCTGGTTCCCGGCTTTGGATTGGCACAGCACCAGCCGTTGCGCTCACTTGGGGAGTGAATCATCGGACGGAAGATCTTCCTCTCTGTTTCTCTTCCTCTCTGCATATCTGACTTTGTGATAAAAATAAATAAATCTTAAAAAAAAATACACAGACCGATCAGTATTGGTGGTGCTAAGCTCTTGCCAGCTCTGCTTTTTTTCGTGAGTAAAGATGAGTGTGGAGAACGGTTAAGGAAATTATCTGGAGGTGACGATTCCTTGGTTGTTGTGTCAGTTGTAGAACATGTTTTAAAAGATCCTTTTCTCTCTGCGTCAGTCCTGTGCCAACTGGAAGACTGAAGGCAGGCTGTGCTGGGACTGGGCTCGCATTTGCTGGGGTTAGATTTTAATCCAGCTGCTAATCATCCCGCTCCACTAGACCCTGTGGGGCATTCTCTCCTCATCCTGTCTCCTCATTGATGAAATAAGGACACTAGTGGGACTTACCTATCAGAGCGTGCAGCCAGAACATGTGAGCCACACACCCAGTCAACTCTACACAATGCTTGGACCAACTGCCTTTGGTTCTATTATGTTATTCTTGGAAGATCTCATAAATCAAAAGTATCTTCATGGAAAAATTCCAGAAAATTTAATTTACTCTAAGAGTCCACCCTTTCCTCAAAGCATCGTAAACACGCAAGTTTTAAAATATGAAATCCTGGGGGCCCATCATTATGGTCTAGTGCGTTGAGCCACTGCCTGTGATGCCAGTTTCCCACAGGGGCTCCGATTTGTTGTCCAGCTGCTCCACTTCTGCTCCAGCTCCCTAGTACACCTGGGAAAGTAGCAGAAGATGGCCCAAATGTTTGGGTCCGTGTACCCACATGGGAGATATGGAGAAGTACCTGACTTTTGGCTTCTGCCTTTAGCCTAGCCCAGCCCTGACCATTGTGGCCACTGGGGAGTGATTCGGTGGATGCCAGAACTACCACGTGCACAACTTTCATATAAAATAAAAATTTGTAAATCCTCATAAAAATATGAAATGTTAAAACTGTGAGCTTGGGTTAAAGTTTGGCTAAGTCGTCTTGGTCTTTATGAAATTAAGAACTGAGGCAGGCGTTGTGGCACAGCAAGCACAACCACCACGTGCAATGCCAGCATCTCATGTCATCACAGCACCAGTTTGTATTCCGGCTCTTCCGGTTCCAGTCTGGCTCCCTGCTAATGCACTTGGACCTCTGCCAGCCACATAGGAGATCCAGATGGCCTTCCGGCTCCTGGCTTCTACACGTCCCAGCCTTGGCTCTTGCAGTCATTTTAGGCATGAACCCGCAGATAGAGCTCTCTTGCTCTCCTTCTGTCATTCTTTTAAATAATCCATAGGGGGAGAGAAAGAGAACAGTAATGAACAGAGGCAGCCCTACAGGGAAATTACTGCAGAGAAAACAAAAGGAATTCCTCTCGGAAGGAAGAACCCTTCTCCCCTCAGCTTGTTAAAATTCCACCTCTGTCGTGCTGATCTGTCTTTTGGGTTCTTGTAGCTATGTGTAAGAGTAATGAGTGGGATAGGGCTTTGTGTCTAGAGCATCCACGGTGAACCTGTTGGACATGAATATAATTGTTTCCTGTTAAGACAGGATTAATAAGCAGCACCACACCTGTGAGGAACGCCTCATCTGCCCGTTCTTACAAGAAATAGGTGGGAGTGTAGTCAATGGACAGTATCCCTCAACCAATCATCCTAGAAGAAGGAGATGTGGAAAGTTAACAATGAGGTGCATGTGTAATGGTGGATTTAGAAATGCAAGGTACTTAATTACGGTCATGTACTTAGTTGTAGTGTATACTTAAGCTGATGCATCAATACTTCTAATTTCCATATCTACTTTTTCTCCTATTTTCTCTAAAGAGATTGGAGAAGATACAGCAAGTAAAAGGATAATTTTAAGCTGATAGTGTGATGGCTCACCAGGTTAAGGCACCACTTGGGATGCCTGCATCCCATATCAGAATGCACAAGATCAAGTACTGCCTCCTCTTCCGGTTCAGTTTTTTTCTGCTAATGTATAGCACGGGAGACAAGTTCTTGGTTCCTTTCCATCCTCATGGAAGATTTGGTTGGAGTTTTTGGCTCCTGGCTTCAGACTAGCCCAGCCACTGCTACTGTAGACATTTAGGGTAAAAAGTAGTGGTTGCAAGATCACTCTTGTTTCTGCCTTTCAAATAAATTTTAAAAATAAATTTATGGAGCACAATAGCCTATCGGCTAAAGTCCTTGCCTTGAATGCATTGGGATCCTATATGGGCACCAGTTCTGATCCCGGTGGCTCTGCTTCCCATACGGCTCCCTGCTTGTGGCCTGGGAAAGCAGCCCAAAGCATTGGGACCCTGCACCTGCGTGGGAGACCTGCATGAAGCTCTGGGCTCCTAACTTTGGATCAGCTAAACTCTGGCCATTGCGGTTACTTGGGGAGTGACTCATGGGACAGAAGATCTTCCTTTCTGTCTCTGTTCCTCTCTGTATACCTGACTTTTCAATAAAAGTAAATAAATAATAATAATAAATTTATGGAAAATATTTAAAATGTTAGGATAGATGGCAAATAGTGATAAGATTGGGATCATGCTGCTAAACGAGCAGCTGCCCCCTGTGTAAGTAGTTGTTGAGCTTTCTGTCCTTGTGGTATTTAGTGAGGGGCTCTTCCTGAAACACCTCCTATAGCCGCGTGGGGAATCAGTGTGTCCCTGGAAGGTCTCAGGACTGCTGCGTAACTCTCCATTACCTTCTAGGTACCTGGTGACCCATCTTATGGGGGCAGATCTGAACAACATTGTAAAATGCCAGAAGCTCACAGATGATCACGTCCAGTTCCTTATCTACCAGATTCTCCGAGGCCTGAAGGTATAAGCAATGTCTGCAATACTGTTGAAAAATGAATTCTTCCTCTCCTCCTCCTAGAGTTTAAACAAACCAGCCAAAACATCTTTTCCTAGGTCCTACATAGGACTGTGAGCTGTCAAGTTCACTGGGTGACCCCAGTTACCAGCAGATGAGCAATCCTGTTTCTTTTGTGTTTCCCAAGCCCTGGGGAGTGTGTGTGTGTGTGTGTGTGTGTGTGTGTGTGTGTGTGTGTGTGTGTGTAAAACATTGTTTATTTGTATTTGTTCATTATTTAAGTTTACTTATCTTTAAATGTTTGTTAGGTGAGGGAATTGCAGACCCATGTAAGTCTCTGCGATGGAAAAGGATGAGGGGGGAAGTGAGTGAGGGAAAAGATCCCACTCTCTCGTGACCGTCGGAGAGGGGAGATGTTGCATTACTCCTTGCTGCCAGATAACATTGGCACCAGGGGACAGACATGGTCTCCTGGGTGATTTTAAAAGTTGGTCTGGACTTTATAGGATCCTATCTGTAGACATTTCATTATACATATCTGTAAGAACTTTGTTATATCTAAAAATTATTAATTTCTTGGTGCAATGTAGCACTTTATTGTGATGCTGAGGTTTAGAAGAAATTTACCTCTGTGTGTTTGTGGTGTGCAGATTAAGAATAAAATTTGAAGTTAAGCCACTTTTTCTGTTTAGCCTGTGTGAGTTTGTATTGAGCACTAGAACACCAACCAGGTAATAGGTTGAAAGCGCCAGTGAAGGGAGTTGATGACTGTGGTGGAGAGCCCTGGTGACAGCCTGCTCCAATTGCCAATCCCATTGTGAACACCGGCCATCCTCAGTAAGTCATGAAAAGGCGCTGCACATACGTCTGTGATGTTACAGGAGGTTAGAGACCACTTCAACTGACACTGTTTCTGTTTTTCTTTTGCAGTATATACACTCAGCAGACATTATTCACAGGGTATGTATTTGAAATGTATGAAATTATTGAGGGGACTGTGGCATAGAGATGGAAGAAAACTGTGTAGCCAAGATTATAATCTAAACTGACTTCAGCTGTTACAACCTTGATGTGTGCCTCTCTGCGCTGGATTTAGACCAGTTACAGAAAGAATTGTGTAGGCTGGGCCTGCTGAAGATCCACTGGGGCCAGAGGCTGACCAGTGGCGCTCATCTGTGGATAACTGGAGGGGGTCTTTTATGTGTTGCCTTTGGTTGTTACCTGTAGGGAGAGCATTTATCATGCTTCAGAAAGTTGATCATCTCCTCCCCTTGCTTCCCAGGACCTAAAGCCCAGTAACCTCGCTGTGAACGAAGACTGTGAGCTGAAGGTAAAATGCAGACAGTGGTGATGGCTTTCTTGCTTTTGCCTTGAAGTTTGACTAAGCAAGTGTACTTCTTAAAGATTATTTTATTCGAAAGGCAGAATGACAGGGAGAGACCAAGAGAGAGTTCTTCCATCTCCTGGTCCATTCTCTCTTTGGCTGCCAGAGCTGTGGTATAGATCAGATAGGAGCCAGGAGCTCCATTGGGATCTGCCTCATGGGTGACGGGAATCCAAGTGTTGGGACCATCATCTGCTGCATCGCAGGTGCATCAGCAGGAGGGAAAGTGTGAAGTACCTGGGACGCACACCTGCATTCCTACAGGGGATGGCAGCTTGACTTGCTGTCCCACATCACCCAGCCCAAGAGAAAGGGGTTTCTTTCAAGATTTATTTTATTTTTATTGGGAAGGCAGATATACAGAGAGGAGGAGACACAGAGAGGAAGATCTTCTGTCTGAAGGTTCACTCCCCAGGCAGCCACAACAGCTGGAGCTGAACCAATCTGAAGCCAGGAGTCTTTTCCAGGTCTCCCATGTGGGTGCAGGGACTGCTTGACTATTTTTCCCAGGCCACAAGCAGGGAGCTGGATGGGAAGTGAGGCTGCTGGGATTAGATCCAGCACCTATATGGGATGCCATTGCATGCAAAGCAAGGATGTTGGCTGCCAGGCCACCACACCGGGCCCAAGAGAAAGTTTTAACAATGATTTTTTATTAAACAGTGACATGACTTCATATCTGAAAATTTCTATTGCCCTTAGGAATATCAGAGTTTGGAATTTAAACCTCTCTGTCATTCAGCCTTTTCCATAGAATGAGTATTTTGTTTAAGTGACAAAGAAAGTGGCATCACATGTGTCGTTTTCACTTTAAGTTAGATGTGTAACAAATTAATTACAATGAAGGAAAACTGTAGTCTGAATCTCATAAGTCATTCTGAGGAGATAATTGTGAAATAGATTCCTAAAAGGAAAAAGGATGGAAATCCACTCAAAATGATCAAGATAAGTAGGCTGTCCCTAGGGAACAAGCAGCTTGGGGACTTTTTTGTTTCATATTCTTTAATCAATTAAAAGCAATCTACATACAGTGCAATGCATCATTATTTAAAGGGTGCCTTGGCCACCAGAGTTATGATAAAGAACAGTCCCCTCACTTCACTTCAGCATGTCCGCTGTGCCTCTTCCCACGTGTCCTCTGTGGTCCTCCCCTGAGCTGGCCCCAGACCACCACAGGTCTCTCTGCCTTTACAGGTAGAACTGACCTTTGCTAGACTTTCAGGCAAGGGGAATCACACAGGGCATTTCTTTGTTCCTCATAATCTCCCGCACTGTTGTTTCTTGCGGAGTACTGTTCTGTGTCATCAGCACGCCAGCGTCTGCCTTTCCTTCTACCATCTGCTTTACTCCTAGTCTGTGAGCTGTGTACAGGTAAGTTCCTGTGATGTTCAAGTGCAAGGTTTTGCATGGATGTGTTTTCATCATGCTTGAGTACCTAAAACAGGTGTTTTTGTTTTTTTTTTTTTTATAATTTTACTTTTTCAGATCTATCAGATACACGGACCAGAAAGCTGATTATGACAGTGCTATATTATTTCCCTTTTTTTGTGACGTCAGCAGGTTTTTTTCTGCCTACCTTGGCAGTTGGTCAGTCCTAATACTGAGTTTTTTCCTTTGCTTAGATCCTGGATTTTGGATTGGCTAGACATACTGATGATGAAATGACAGGCTATGTTGCCACCAGGTGGTATCGGGCTCCTGAGATCATACTGAACTGGATGCACTACAACCAGACAGGTATGACTTGTACGGCTTCCTGGGGCTTTAGGAACACGGTGCTGGATGTGTGTGGGATCCTCGGAGATGCAGGGAAGGAAATAATGTTTCTTTTCATTTCTCTTCAACCCTGTGCATAGAAACAGTTTATGTACTCAGATGGGGTGATTTTTTTTACACACAGCTTTTAAACTTTGTGGTTTAGCAATTCGATTTTCACTTACTTAGATTTTCATCATAAACCTGTGGGTCCTTCCAACCTAACAACAATGGGTTCATAACCTGAAATTCCCAGACAGGAGACGTTGGCCATCTGGCGAACCACTCCTTTTCTTACTTGCGCATGTTTGCCTTGCCCCACTGCCTCATCCCTGTAGTGGGGTGGAAGTGTTAACTAGCTGATTTACTCCTAGACCAACTGAGTGCAGTTACTGAGCCTCAGTTGTCTCACATGCTAGTTTGAATATCTCATCCTAGTCAGACTGTCTTCTGTGGCTAAGTACTAACAGAGGTGTAAATTTCCTCATTGTATGTACTGCCGTTTCTCTTTCATTTTGCCAGTTGACATTTGGTCGGTCGGATGCATCATGGCTGAGCTGCTGACGGGAAGAACATTGTTTCCAGGAACAGACCGTATCCTTTGAACAGCTGTGGACTCTGGGTTTGTTCCATCTTGTTTTCCAGTGTCCGTGGATGTGTCCTACCTTTACCCCTCTGCCCGGAAGGCTGTTAGTTACTCACGTTTACAACCCAGATGCGCCCTCTGGTCACGTTTCTGAGCCACGAAGAGTCCCCATCAGCCAGGAAACACTGGGAACCTCTCATCTGCCATCTTTTTTGCAGCAGATTCCTTGGTGTCTGATGGTTAACATCACAAAGCAGTTCTGAGAGCAGACCCCACTGATGAGCTCAGGATCCCAGTGACAGGTGGTCTACTTACACAAATCCTGAATGAGCACAAGACACACATTTCTCAATCCAGGGTGTCTGGCGGTCATGTTTGGGCTGTGTGTGAACACGCTATGTGTGTAACGCTTTGCAATGATGCACCTGCAGACTCTCGCTATGCTTGTCCTTTAGCAACAAACAGTAATAGCAAGAAGCTGTAAGGCCATCTATTCACATTTGCTTTTTCCAGCACAACTGTGTCCCATATTGCAGCCAGACCTCAGATGGCTTCTAGACTTGTGTTACGCTTATAGTTTATCACAACCCCATTAGTTTAGTCCCTTTCCTATCTACGGTGTGTTTGTTTCACATCTTAGTAATAATGTCCTCAACCTGTGATATATTGTAGCTTCCATACGTTCCACTTGGGGAAGGTGTTTAGGTGATGGAGGGAATGTTAAAATATGTCTAGCATTGATCTAATGGGACTTCCGTAAGATGTAATTGACTGTTCTTTAAATGGTTTGGGCTGGGCTCTTAGTTATGTTGTGCTTGCCCTGTCTTGCTTAGAGGTGGAGAAGCTGTCTTAGCCACTTGCTGAAACAGTCTCATTGAGTTTATAAACCAGACTATCGGTTTACTTGCTTGCACCTTAGGATATACTACTGCGGGGACTAGTTTTCATGCTGCCTCTCCCTGTATTCTGTCTTTTGTTGTTTGCTTCTCCATGAACAGCCCTGCAAGGACACAGAGTCCAGTTTCCCCATCCCTGGCTTGCTGGGTACCTCTGAATTTCCAGTTAGCTTTGTGCCTTATCTGTCGTCTTTGTGTCATAACGCCCTCTGTCTCAGAAATTTGAAATACATACTTCTGGCCAAGTCAGGAGAATTCAGCTTGTCCTCCGGAACAGGGCCCTGTCCTGATGCCCTCCGTCCCTCTGGCACCCTGCCCCAGCCTTTCTTGGTACCTGCATCTCCCTCCACAATGCAGGCATGCCTGCACACACAAAGCAGCAGAGAGAGACACACACTCAAGGTAGCCCATGCTCTGGAACCAGACGCTTGGGTTTAAATCCTTGCTCTTTTCCTCACAGCTGTGTGACTTTGGGCGCAAGTCTTCTAACCTCTCAGCTTGTACAATGAGAATCCCAGGATGTGTCCCACCCAGGAGTGGTGAGAAGTCAGCAAGATAGTGGCTGCTGAGTCCTCGGCCCAGAGCCCGGCAGGGAATGCCCGAGTCAGCAACCTTCACAGAACAGTTTCCTCTCCACCACCAGCTTTATTGCCTACCTGTGAATCATTAATGGTTACGTTTTTAAAGAATCATTCATTCTGTGGCAGATAGCAAAGGGTGGATCTCCTTAGCAGGATATTGGAAGAAAGTATGCAAAGCACTATGGTTCTTGTGCCCTTATGGTCCCGTTCATAGACAGCTGGCTAGTTCCCTGTACAGCATGACCCTTTTAGAATGCTACCAACCCATAAACCATCCCTCTAGGAAAACCTTTTTTGAGCTGTAGATTAACGTCATAGCATTTAAACATTTTAATATGGCATTCTTACTTTCTTAACACATGAGATTTCACTTCAGAATTCTCATTTTTGTGATTCACTGTTTTTATTTGACTTTTTTTCTTTCTTCTTCTTCTTTTTTTTGGACAGATGTTCTCCTGGATTATAGAAATCAAACTTGAAGGGTTTGTGTTTGTATGTATTCAGTCTTCCTGTAAGCTGCCATCTGTATAGATACAGCTTTGGTAACTTGACAAGAGGGGAGAGGGAATTGTTTCCCATTATTTTTTCCTTGCCTGGGGTGATGTTCCAGCACAGTGGTTGTTAATCCTCGGGGAGAAGTTTTTAAAGCTCTAGAAGCCTGGACGTGTTGCCAGAAGCCTCCGTTCTGGATGGTGACGGCACTGACTCTCGGGTCTGCGCATGCACTCGGCCTCCAGGTGACACTGGTGTGCACGCTGGTACTGACCACACTGGGCCTGAACCCACGCATCCCAACCAGCATCTTAGTCAGACGCTGCCCTAAAAGTGGTGGTTGTAGATTCTTTTTAAATTTTTTAAAGGATGATTTTTTTTTTTTTATTTGAAAGGCAGATTTATAGAGAGGAGAGACAGAGAAAAAGATCTTCCTTGCATTGGTTCAGTCCCCAAGTAGTCACAATGGCCAGAGCTGAGCCAGTCTGAAGCCAGGAGCTTCCTCTGAGTCTCCCACACGGGTGCAGGGTCCCAAGGCTTTGGGCCATTCTCTACTGCTTTTCTAGGCCACAAGCAGGGAGCTGGATGGGAAGTGTAACAACCAGGGCATGAACTAGCATCCATATGGGATCCCAGTAATTGCAAGGTGAGGATTTAGCTACTAGGCTGCCACACCAGGCCCCTGTTGATTCTTTTTTTTTTTTTTCAATTTTTTAAAAATTGATTACATTGCATTATGTGATACTGTTTCATAGGCTCTGGGGTTCCCCCATACCCTCCCCCCATGGTAGATTGCTCCACCTTGGTGCAGTATCACAGTTCAAATTCAGTCAAGATTCTTTCATTGCAAGCATAGAGTCCAGCATCTTATTGTCCAGCTAAATTTAATGGTTTTTTGGGGAGACCATCTCTGGTCTGAAGGCAGAGCTGGCAGAGTATCATCCCGATCAATTAAAATCCACAACATAACATCAACAACACCGCTTTCCCAGGTGCATTAGCAGGGATGTGAATCAGATTTGGACAGCTAGGTCTCAGACCAGCACTCACACGGGATGCCAGTGTCACTGGTGGCAGCTTAACATGCCATCCCCAACAGCAGCCCCTAATTTCTGTTCCAGTGTGAGAAGTCCGATTATAATGATGCAATACAGGCTCTGTCCTGCCCCTATTCCTGCTGTATGTCCTTAAATGTGGACTTTACATTTTTTGTTTTTATCAAGTACTGATAAACCAGTATTAACATTTTAACCTTGGGAACATACTACCTTTTGTCATTTAAAGATGACAGAGTTCTCTAATTTTCTTAATTTAGAAATAGTTTACGTGAACAGACTTATGTAGGGGTGTGATGGAGAATTGTACACATTCTCTTGTAAAGCACACTGTCAATACTGTAGACTTTAGGAACCATTATTTTTTGTTTTAATTCTGCTCATTGTCCTGTGAAAGCAGCCATCGGGAGAGTGTAAATAAATGAATACACCTGTGTTCCAAAAAAAACTTTATTTCTTGGGACCAACCAGCTTGTTAGCATTACAGGCTAATGTTGTACCAGCATCCCACGTGGATGCTAGTTTGTGTCCTAGCTGCTCCACTTGTGATCCAGCTCCCTGCTAACGGTCTGGAGAGCAGTGAAGGATGTCCCAAGTCCTTGGACCCCTGCACCCATGTTGGAGACCTGGAAGTATTTCTGGCTTCCAGATTCACACCAGCCCAGTTCTGGTCTTTGCAACCATTTGAGCAAGTGAGCCAGTGGATAGAAGATTTTGCTCTCTGTCTCTCCCTCTCTCTGCAGCTCTAACTTTCAAATGAAATAAACACATCTTAGAACAAAAAACAAATTTTATTTAGTGGGCTGGGGCTTGTGGACTTCTGTCTAGAATTTTCTCCCGTTTTAGTCCACTTTGTAGTAGACCAGAGGGGAAGAGACAAGCTGCCAGTCATTCTGTTGCATAAGTCATCCCTGTGACGTAGGCAGCTGTGGCTTGTTGAAGCCACCATCACCTTTGCAATCAGACACCAAAATCTCTTCTTGAATCCTGCCCTACCCTCTCCTCAGAAATGTTGAGTGCCTGTCATGGAAAGATATGAGGCTGAGTACTGCAGGAAAGGTGGGTCCCCACCTTCGCCAAGTGGTAGTGCCAACCGAGCTGATAAGACAACAGGCAAACCAGGTCATCTGGATCATCGTAATCGTCAGGATGTCCTTCAGTTTGTGACTCATGTGACATGATGCTGGGAGAATCCGCTGAGGAGGCTGTAATGGTGTGAGCACATGACGGTATCCTCCCAGCCTCCCTCCCCATCCATGGCATGGGTGAAATATTCACATTTCATAGAAAATACCAAAAGCTGTTCTGCAAGTTTCCTTTCCACCTTACCCCACATCATTTGAAACTATCTGCCTAGGTCAGACCAGAAGCAGTGAAAAAGCGCATGAACAGGCTTTGGGTCCTGGTTCTGGGGTGTACACACGTTGAGTGTCCCTCAGGACACTACTGGAATAGAGGGTTCAACATTTCTGACCTAGTAGGTAGAGTCCTGGACGTGTGGAGTTCATGGCTGGTTTTCTGTGTCCTGTATTTTGCATTTTAACAAGGATGAAGCCTCTTCAGCCTTCTTAGAATTCTCTGAAGTGGGTGTGTGGTGGGAGAGTGCCCTCTGCTGGCTGTCACAGACTGGGGAAGGGAGAAGTTTCTAGAGCAAGCAAGTCAGAGCAAGCCTCCTCCTGCCACAGAGGGAGATGGTCAGGTCAAGCTTAGAGGAATGCCCACCCTTGCTTTTTGTGCCCTGCTGTCGTTCTCTTACCTGTCGGCCTCTGCTTACCAGTGCTGTGTTCAGCTGGCTTCTGTTGCTTTGTGGGAAGGTGAGAAGCTAGGTGTGGACTTGAGCGTATGCATTCAGGGAAGCCTTTTGTGTTTTCACCTGCTGTCTTTGGTAGCTAAGAGCCCAGGTAACATCGCTTCTCTTTTCTGATGTGGGACGTTGACAGATGCTCAGTGTGCGTATGCGTGTGTGTGCGTGTCCAGGTGTCTGGTGGCATCGTGAATCTTGATGTGGCAGCTGTGTGGAAGCCCTGACCTAAGTGAATTCACCATGTTGCCTTGGTTTCGGGTTTTATTTTATTTATTATTATTATTGTTACAATTTTTTGTTCTCCGGGGTATTCTGTTTGTTTCTGTGTGTTACTGTTTGCTTTCCATTTTTATTTTGTCCCAACATTTTCCTTTATAGTCCACCATTAGATATTGATCAGTTGAAGCTCATTTTAAGACTCGTTGGAACCCCAGGGGCAGAGGTTTTGAAGAAAATCTCCTCAGAGTCTGTGAGTTGATGCTTTGTTTGTAATCCTCTGCCCTGCCTTCTTGCTCCCCATCACTCTGAACCTTGACCTTGGGTGTGTTTGTAAGCACGTGTGTCCTCAGAGGCGAGGTGTGTGTGTGTGTGTGCACGCACGTTCCTGCTTGCATGCATGAACGTGTTCTGTTCTCTCTTATTCCTGAGAGCCTCAGCTGGGCGATAGCATTCCAGTAGAACAATGAGATCCAAGACTTTCATTCTTACTGAGAAACGAAGGGGAAATTTCTTCAGTCCGTTCTCAAGCCCTGACTTTGTCTTCGTCAGAAATTTTATGTCCATGCAACAGCTCTCCTTATTTCTGGACTGTGCTTGTTCTTAGGGCACGAGCACTGGGACATGTTAGTCCAACTTCGTGACCGAGAATGAAATGGGCATCGTTCGCCAGTGTTGCCCAGGCTCCACCCTCTTCATCATTTTGCAGTAGACGAGTCACACATCCCACGTAGGGTGCCCACATCTCTTCCCCATCTGCAGATTACATCGAGGAAGCACCTCTGTTCCTGTAGCCCCCATCCCCAGGAGGGTTGGAAATCTTTCCTCCCCACAGCCTGCCTTTTGATCCCAAGCTGGAGAGCCTGAGAAAGGGCTTTGGAGCTGGTGCTTCCCAGCCTGTAAGCAGGGACTTAGACAAAAGCCGAGAGGATGAGACTGCGCGTTTGGGATGTGATTTTCTGCTGTTGGCCACTTTCCTGGGCCAGAAACATGAGAAAGTCTCTGAAAGCCCAGCCTTTCTCCATTTCCATTTCCATCTGCCTCCTTAGACAGAAGGGAGGGGAATTGTAGACCCAAACCCCAGCTGTGGCTTTCTCTCCTCCCACTGCTTCTCCCTGAGGGGCTCTTTGCCCAGCGTGAGGCAGGCCTGCGCAGGTGAGTTTCAGCTGTTGGCCATGTGACTGCCAAGAGTGCCCTGTCTGTGGGTATCGGATGCATTTCTTAAAACAACCGTGAAGCCCAGTGCACTTCTCAGTTTCCATTCAGAGATGTGGACGCGTATGCTGGCCCTATTTTATCATGTTTCAGTTAGTCATTCGAGATAAGGGAGCACAAGCCCAGAAAGGCTGTGCCTGACCGAGTTGCACTGAGTCATTTGGCAGAGCCATGTAGGGATTCCAGATGTTCCGATAACACGGTCTAAACCAGAATCTCCTGCAGTTGCACATGACTGTAAAGTCTGTGTCAGAGTTCTTGATGACACTGTCCACCTGAAGAGGAGTTGTTTTGTTTTATTGGTTTGTTGCTTTAGGAAATGCACAAGCTGGGTTAGATAGAGCACATCAAAAAAGATAGGAGATGATTCTTAGGAAGAACATTGCTTAAAAAAAAAAAAAAAAAACGGTTGCACATGCTTAGAAAGATTGGCTAGTCAGGACCAGAGGACAAAGTATGGGAACAGTAGCATTTGCCTAATAGTGATCCATCTTATCTTTAAGACAGAAATGGAGCAAGAGAGATCTGTCTGCTGGGTCACTTCTCTAGTGCCCACAAAAGCCAGACCTGGGTCAGGCCCAGTCCAGGAGCAGGAACTCAGTCCGGGTTTCCCATGTGGTGGCAGGAACCCAAACACGTTCACCCATCTGCTGCCTCCTAGCGTACACGTTTTCAGGAAGCTGGACTAGAAACAGGAGCCAGGACTTGAGCAGGATACAAGTGCTACAAGTAGCATCTTAACTGTTCTGACAGCCCGCCTCTCCCCCATCATTTATTTTTGAGAAGGAAACACTAACCTAACCGTATGGCATAGTGGCCTAATAATAGGATTTAGTTTCACTGTGCAAAATAAAACACATCAAAATTTCAACAGCTCTAGGTATAGCGTCAGGTATAACTGAACAGAATCAGAGCACAGAGCTTATTCAAATAAGATTCTGTTCCACTTACGCTGTTTAATTCTGACAAGTGAATAAATGTAGTATAAATCTTCAAAGGATAGACAAGCTTAATTTGATGTTAGCAACACTGACCTACTACCTGTGTATCATGACACTGCATGACTACAGAGGACAGAATGGGAAAATAACAGAAAGATAAGTACATTTGCTGAAGATTTGAGAAAGAAACACATCAGTAAAGATGCAGAAAAAGGAGAGCCAACACTTTTTTTGTTCAATGCTAAAGGGTAGAGAAGTGATACCAGCATTTATGAAGAAGTCCAATTAATTAATTTAAAAGGATGTTCTGTATGGAATGCATCAGGGTATGCTGTGGGAATGAGGATGCATAGTCATGGTGGAGACTAAAGGATAGAGTTTATTTATTTGGTTTCCCCGGTACCTGTTGTAACCATATTAAAGCAAGAACTTGGTTCACATTTTTCGCTAGAAATATGATCTTCCTAACCTCCTAATGGGATAGAGATGTGATAACCCATCTCTGTAAAGAAGACAGACAGAACATAGATGCAGTCCCAGTTTTGTTCATAGAAAGGAAAAGAGACATGACAGGATTTTAATAGTTTGAAACCCAACTGGTGGGGCTGGCACTGAGATATAGCCGTTAAACCACTGCCTGTAAGGCTGACATCCCATATGAGCACCATTTTCAGTCTAGGCTGTTCCAGTTTGATCCAGTTCCAAACTAATGTGCCTGGGAAGAAAGTAGAAGTTGGCCCAAAGACTTGGGCCCCTGCCACCCATGTTGGAGACCTAGATGGAGTTCTAGGCTCTCTGCTCCAGCCTGACCCAGTTTTGGCTGTTGTAGGCATTAGGGGAGTGAACAAAAGGATGGAAAATTCTCCCTCCCTGACACTGCATGACAAACCAACAGTTTTCGTTACCACTTTGGGGCGATGGGAATTGTTTAGCTTATTAGCACAGTTCAAGGGGAGAATTTGCTGTGCAACTTAACATGTGCTTGTGAATATGGAAAACCTCACAGTTTTGGCCTTTGCCAGAGAATTGTCTTTTAAACAAGTCTTAAAAAGCAAACAATCAAAAAAAAAAATCCCACTGGTATTGCTTTGTAACCCCTTTGTAATATCTTGTGCCGTGCATGCAGACTACTGTTTGTTGTGACCGTGTTAAAAGCACTTCCATCTGTTGGATTTGCTGGCTTCTGCCTTTGGGCTTGGAGAGCTTGCAAGGCAAGAGCACATCTTGCCTCTATCCCCACGGCTGGCCATAAGCCTGCATTCACAGGAATCTGACCACTCAGGAGTTGTGTTCAGGGGATGAACTCAAGTGGAAAATGATTCGGGGAAGCTGCAGAGGAGTGTGACCCCTCGGCTGTGGTGGTGGAAAATGACACTTGAGCCAAAGGAGGGAATTCGTAGTTAATGAGAAAGGGACCATACAAGGGATTGTAGTGAATTATGGTGAGGATTTTAGAAATCCCATCACTTGTGCCTTTGGTAGGACTGCATGACAAACCAACAGTTCTCCTTACCACTTTGGGGCGATGGGAATTGTTTAGCTTATTAGCACAGTTCAAGGGGAGAATTTGCTGTGCAACTTAACGTGTGCTTGTGAATATGGAAAACCTCACAGTTTTGGCCATTGCCAGAGAATTGCTGTTTTTTCCACTTCCTCCCAGCTGTTTGCTAAAAAAAAAAAAAAAATTACTCTAGCCACTTGCAGAAGAAACCACTGTGGCATGCCATAATACCATCGGCAGCCTGTGACTTCTACTTTGTCATTGGCATTAGCCTCTAGCTTACCCCCCAACTCCATCTTCCCTTTTTTCACTTCACCATTGTGTTTGTGACATGTATTTTAAAAATACCGCCACTAATGTCTTTGAAATTCTGCAATGTTTATCAGCAATTTAGTCTCCTCTATGAGAGGATGTGTCAGTTACTCCATTTGGTCCAAAGTTTTCTGAATTGTTTGTGTTTACCCACAGGCAGACAGGTTTTAATCATCAGAACAGGAAAATTATTCTCTGGCTGGCTTCCTGCATCAAGGAGCAGTCTGTTTCCAGGAAACCAGAAAGATTTAAAATTAAAGATAATGCTGACACCAAAGAAACATTTTTCTTGTCTGCATGACCAGTCTGTGCATCAGCATGCTTTAACCTGCACCCTTGGCCTGTGGCCTAGAGTGGGTGGGGAAGTAACGTGGGGAGTGGGGTGGTTTGTTTAATTTTGTTTTGTTTTGGAATGATTTTTTTTAACCTTTTTTTCTTTTTTTGAGCACCTGAGTTGAAAGTTCTTTTTTTCTGCATTGTATGTTTAACAATGCCCTTGACCAGGCATCTAAGATATTAACCAGCTTCAGCAGATTATGCGTCTGACTGGGACACCCCCTGCTTATCTCATTAACAGGATGCCAAGCCACGAGGTGAGAGCACACAGCCTGTAGAGGCATGGTGGAGTTCAGAGGCCACATCCTCGTGTTGGCTGGCACTGTGTAACCAACGTTCCTAATGCCGCAGTATGCTTGCATGTATCTTGAAGGACCGCTAGGACAGTGCCTATGTTTACTATTGCAAGATGTGGCCATTTGGAATAAAATGTCATCCAAACCCAAGAGGTTGAGAATGGAGCTTACAGGCTTGGACATGGAGAACAGTGCTACTTTTACATTGTGTTTAGCATATTTAATATTTCAAGAGGCCTGTGTTTCTTCCTGGATCTCAGGCCTTTATAAGAAAGGAATACTGCTTCCTAATGACCTTCAAGTTCATTAGCATGCTCTCCTGTTCTTAAAACTAAAATTTGCAACACTAACTGGTACTGAATTTACAAGCCAATGGATATGCAAGGATAGAGTAACTATGAACACTGAAGTAGGGTTCAGTGCCTGGTTTCTTGTTTTTTGAAGTCTGGTTGCACCAGTGGCCAGTGATGGGGGCCCCACTTTCAGAGGGACCTTGAGTACTTCCAGGAGTCAGGTCAGTGGCACCAAACCACTTGTAGCCGTCATGTCCCTGCAGCCCCAGCCTTGTCATTCTCAGTTTAACAGAGGAATGGCTGCTCTGTCTGGAAGAGGCAGGTCTCTTGCCTTCGTGTTCCCTCCTTCCTTTTATCTGCATGCCCAAGTGGAAGGGGATTGCAGCCACATGTGTATTCCATCCCAGGAACTTTTCTTTCCAGATCGGAAAGATTGTCAGCTGCTCTTCAAAGTAGACCTGGTCTATTCACTCCCCATACAATGACTAACAAGGTAAAGTTACCCCAGCAACCAGAACTTTTCATAACCTTCTGTGCATAGTGTACTCCCGGGTCTTTAGTATTGAGCTGTAGCTGAGCAGGAAGCTGCAGGAGGAAAAGAGAGCAGTGTCTGTCTGAAAGTGACAGTGGTAGCAGGCAGTGTTTCTTGAGCCCCTGCTCGACACCAAGTACTAAGCCAAGAAAGTGCTTGCCTCTTGCTGACTCTTCAATCCTGTGAGGTCAGCCCTGCTGTTAAACCCATTTTACAAATGAGGAACCCAAGCTTTTAAAAGAGATGAACTTGGCCTGAGTGCTAAACTCCATATTTATGCTCTAGCCCGTCGCACCAAAGAATTCAAATGTGTAACAGCTGTCCCGGTAGCCAACATGCCACGGGAGGTGGAGTTTCATTTTCAGGTGTTTTCACAAGTGTTAGCACAGCCATGATATGCTGTAGACCATCCAGATGGTAACATTCAGCGCTAATGCTGGTATTTCGCAGGTGAGATACACCAGTTGAGAGTTGCCTAACAGGTAGTTGTAACTTGGATGTGGCAGAGAAGGAAAGGCATAGGCCATGTGACTGAAATTTCATAATTGCTTATTATCCTTGATAGATTGTCTTTGATCATTTGAAAATGTGTTTGAGCCTCTAAATAGAACGTGCTAAGCTTATGTTCACTTGTGTCACCAAGGACACTTTTGATGTCCCGGGCATAGCATCCAAGGTCAGCACCATCTGAAGACTGTCATAGACTGAGTCCAGGGATACCAACCGCTCTGTCCACCTTAGCTGCCAAGAAAGGCCCTTTCACAAAGGGCCAATTCTTGACCTCAGTTTTTGAACATGGGATCCTATGACCAGAAAGCTAATGAAAGAGAACTTAATTGGCTCGTTAGTATTCTCATTCGCTTGAAGTATTAGCTGGGAGAGAGCAGGACTAAGCAAAGGTGGTGCTCACGAGAAGGGAAGCTAGGATGGCAGTGCAAGGGACATCTCCAGCAAGTGTCTGAAATGGTCCCCGACCTTGGAGTGAGTATGCTGTCAGCGTAACTTACTGCTCAACAAAACTAGTCACTCTCAATTTTTACAGGCAAGAAACTACATTCAGTCTTTGAACCAGATGCCAAAGATGAACTTTGCAAACGTATTTCTTGGTGCCAATCCCCTGGGTAAGTGACCAGATCCTCGCTTGTTGAATACTGAATGAACTAGAGTATAAAATTAGGGACTTGAGGAAGAGTTTTTTCTTTTTGATTGAACAGCATACTATTAATTAAAACTGGGGGAGGTGATAACTACTCACATGGCACTTATTATGTGTTGTTTGTATCATCAGATTTCTTAAGAAGTACATGACCTGCTCTATTGCGGGATTTGGTGTGGGAAATGGGTGATACAATGAGGAAAGGAGAGATAGGGATGTTGGGAGAAAAGGAGGAAAGAGAAAGAGAAGAAAGCCGTGACATGCCCACACCACCGACGGGTGACCGAGTCCCAAGCTGAAGGTAGAAACGGTGGAGGCACAGAGGGGTGGTGCTCAGGGGACACTCCCCGGAGCTCCCCGCAGCATGCTCTGCTCTGCTGGCAGCCAGCTGGGCTGCAGGCCCAGCCATGCTCCGCACTCCCTGGTTTCCTCTCCTCTTAATTATTAGTTACCTCGAGTCTAGGGGAAGGGCTCCACATCGCTTCCCATTCCCCACCCCTGTCAGCCCTAGGTGCCTCAGCAAAGGGGAATCGGTGGGCTGCTGAGACCTAAGTGGTTAAAGCAGTTCTTTTGTGTCTTAGAGGCAAGGTTGTAGGAAGGGGCTGACATACCACTCCTGGTGGCTCCAGAGTGTGGCCTCTTCTGAAGCCCTCACCCCTTAATTCCTAGTGCTGGGCAACTCCTAGCAGCCAAGACAGGAGGAGCCTACCAGTGCCTTCCTGTGGTAGGGAGCAGAGTGATGCTATAAGGGCCTGAATAGGCAGCCTTCTCGCCTCCATGAATATGAGACTGGGGCAAGTTCTGAGGTCTTACTACCTTTCGTTAAGTCTGCATGGATCATCCCTCCGCATGAGGGCCAGGCTTGGGGCCTGGCTTTGTCCTTGTGAAAGCTGGTGACAGCCACAACAGTGAAAAGCAGGCAGTTTTACCTTTTTAAAGTACTTCCTCCATGATGAGTTTCAGGGTTGCCATGATGATCTTAGGATGGTACACATATGCACTTTCAAGTGTGGGGCAGTGACAGGTGAATTCACGTTGACCTCAGAGATGGGGTCGCTCTCAGGTGCAGGTATGGATGTACAGACTCATCAAGCATGCGCAGGATTTTCCTAGGACTGGTTTAAGTTTGCAGATCCCTGCGCGGCTCTGGCGAGCTTCTTTTGAGCTGTCTTATCTAAAACAAGGATCTGTGGGACGCTCTCTTTGAGCTGTGAGTACACCTGGATGTGGGGCCAGGCTGTTGTGTGCCAGTAACTCCCTTGGCTGGCATTCTGTTGATTTTTCTTCCGTCTCACCACTCCTCGGGTTTGGGCATGGCAGTGCTCATTGCTTGGTTCCCTGTTTATTGAGTCAGACAGATTTGTAAACATCAGCATTCCACACAGCTTGTTCAAACAGAATCCCATTTTTTTATGTTCTTTTAGTTATGTACCCTTAAAAATAGAACACACACACACATACACACTCTTACAGGAGGGAAGAGATTATCCTACTCGGAATTCTTGTTTAAATTCTTGTGTAAAATCCTTGCCCTCCCCGCGTCCAATCTGCCGTTCCCGTAGCCGTTGACCTGCTGGAGAAGATGCTGGTTTTGGACTCAGATAAGAGAATCACTGCAGCCCAAGCCCTCGCTCATGACTACTTTGCTCAGTACCACGATCCTGACGACGAACCAGTGGCCGACCCTTATGATCAGTCTTTTGAAAGCAGAGACCTCCTCATCGATGAATGGAAAAGTAAGTCCTGAGGGCCAGATTTACATCTAGCATAAACGCAGGGGTTTGGAAACCTTTTCTGGGTGAACCGTGGACCAGGCAAAACTGGGTGACTACAACCACTCAAGAGTCGCTCTGGGGTGCTTCTGTCTTGGCCTCAGCCTCTCCTGGCTGCCAAGGGCTTCGAGGTGCTGGGAGCCTTCGCATGGACAGCGTCTTCTCCGAGAGGAGTAGGGTCAAGGGAGTTTTATGATCTTGCAGCAGATAAAATTGCAGCAAAGGGAATGCGCTTTTGAGCTCTTGCCTTATGTCTAGTTAGGAACAGAGCCAGGGATGGAGCCCAGGCCTCCCATAGCCAAGCTCCTGGGCTTACCCTAGAGCTTGAGCTCCAAGCTCTGGCTGAGTCTCCAGGGCCCAGGGCAGGTCTGCTGCTTGCAAGAACCCTCAGAGAGCTTTGAAGAGGAAGAAACAGGCTATGAGGCCTTTGGCAGCAGGTTCTGTGCTGTCAGAAGCTTAAGGGGAGAATATATTTTAAAGGTTTATTTTTATTGGAAAGGCAGAGTTACAGAGAGAGACACAAAGACAGAAAGAGAGGGAGATCTTCCATCTGCTGGTTCATCCACCAAATGGTCCTAATGGCCAGAGCTGAACTGACGCAAAGCAAAGAGCCAGGAGCTCCTCCCAGGTCTGCCTACAGAGGTGCGGGGCCCAAAACCTTGTGCCAACCTCCACTGCTTTCCCAGGTACATTAGCAAGGAGCTGTATCAGAAGTGTAGGAGCCACAACTTTAACAAGTGCCCATACGGGATGCTGGCACTGCAGGCAGAAACACCACCATGCCAGCCCCATGGGAGAATATCACGTGGAGTCGGGAAGGCAGTTATCAGAAGCAGTGGACCGAACCCAGCCTGCGTGGGAATGAGGATTTGAAGTGAAGCAGTCAGAGCACCCGCCCAGGAGAAAGAACAGTCTGAATTCTCACATCTCAACTTTATCCTTCCCAATTCCAGGCCTGACATACAATGAAGTCATCAGCTTTGTGCCACCGCCCCTTGACCAAGAAGAGATGGAATCCTGAGCACCTGGTTTCTGTTCTCGTTGACCCCACTTCACTGTGAGGGAAAGGCCTTTTCATGGGAACTCTCCAAATATTGTTCAAGTGCCTCTCGTTGCAAAGATTTCCTCAGTGGTGGAAGGGGTGTGTGTGTGTTTGTGCGTGTTAGTCTGTGTGTGGGGGTGTGTACGTGTGTGTACGTGTGTGTGTGTTAGTCTGTGTGTGTGTCTATAAGATGAGAGCACCAGGGCGAGTCGACCACAGTTGCTGTCCTTCAGAGGAAGTTGCTGTCTCTGCCCCGGCAGCCTCCACCTGCTGTCCTTCTTGAGCATCAGCTCAGGCAGACCAGGGCTGCCCTCCTGTTAGGGATGAGTCAAACGTAAGGTGAACAACGTGAAAACGCCCCCCGGCCCCAGTCATTGCTTCTGTCACTCTGGCCTCTCCTATGGCCCCACCTTGACCGCAGTGGACAGACTGGGCCGCAGAGAGAAAGGTTTATACCTTGTGGCTGCTTCTGGACTGGAGCCATTCCTGGAAGGTGTCCTCAGTCCCACCAGGCCGGCGTCAGCACAAGGCTGGGATCGACCTGCTTCATGCGTTTGGAGACTGTGAACATGTCTATGCCTTAAAAGGAGAGCCGTGGGAATATCACACGGAGTCAAGGCAGCAGCTCCTGAGGTTCTGAGCCAGCCAAGCAGGGCAGCGGGGGGCTGCCGGCGGCCTTCCCAGGTGGCCGTGTGCGCATCTGCCTGCATGGACATCCTCTCCCCACCTCACCCCCCACGCCCAGCGGGCAGTGTGGCCGTCCCTGTGCCCACCCCTTCCTCTCAGTGCAGAAGTCTCCTGAGTGCCAACCCAGGCGGAGAAGCATCTCCTCGTTCTCCACGTGCTTCCGGAGCACCCTTTGTCCCTTGCACAGTGCGTTCTGCACGTCTGGCTAGCTGAGCATGCGCAGCCACCTGTCCTGTCCTCGAGTGGCCTTCGTGCCAGGCAAGGTCACCAGTGGAGACTTCTGGGGGCGCTCTGCCGACATGATGGGCGGGTGGCAGCCTCCTCCTCTGCGGCCCTAGTGCTGTCTTGTGCTCCAGGTGCTGTTGGTGGGGAAGCTATGACAAAATGGAGCCTTTGGGTGGGCAGCCGTCTCATTTTTGCCATCTGATTTACAGCAGATGGTTTCTGAAGGACGGGGGAGCCAACACAGGAGATCTGGGCTCTTCCCAGGAGGTTCCCAAACTCTGGAATGCCAGTCATTGTCTTCACTTCCAATCATCAATTCTAGGAAATGCTGAAAATCAAAAAGATAAAAGCCAGCAACTGCTTTTGCTGTCTCTCCAATGTGATTCTCAGAAAAGTATTGGCGAGGTACCTTTCCAAGCCCGGGCAGCAAAGGCTTTCCTTGGCAGCTTGATATCCAATCGGCTTCTCGGATCGGGGTGGGAAGAAACCCGTCTTCAGAAATTTTATACATTGTGGGAATCCTTTTGAGAATGTGATTCCTTTTGATGGGGAGAAAGGGCAAATTATTTTGATAATCTTGTATTTTCAACTTTGTAAAGAAGACATATCCTCAGGGGTGGAAGAAAAGTTGTTTTCATAATTTTCTCAAATTTCAGGCCTTTTTTTGTTTTATTTTGTTTTGCTCCGTGAGGAGCTCATGTGTTTAAGCTTTTTGTATAACAAGAAAAGTGTAGCACCCCTTCCAGTGTTGGCTGTTTGACAAATCCCTGGATTCGGGTCAAGGAGTCTGCATTTCTGTGTGAATACAGAGGGATACCCCCAGGTCAGACTGGAGCGGGCAGGAAGAGGCGGGCTGCTGTTATACCCCGCTCCCCAGCCCCCTTGCTAAAAGACAAAGTAACCGGAAAGGCTTCACCTCCTCTCCATGCAGTTCCGACCCTCACCATCCACAGCACGACGACTTGCGTCTGTCGGCCGTAGCCGGTTACAGTGTGATTTGCTTACAGAAGTATCGCTCTGAGTATTTTTTCCTGAGTGTCTTGTGCCTGCGTGACCACACCCGTGTTAGGAGGAGGCCACATGCTTCCCTGGCCCAGACTCGAAGCTTGGAGCCCGTGGAAGAGCTCTCACTTCAAGCATAGTTCTCCCATCTCCCGATTTCTCAGAACAGAAAGCGGACAGCAAGGGCAACGGCTCTTTGTATTCATGAACTGGCTGAGAGCAGTGATGTCAGGTAGGATTTAAGAGAACACCACTGGTTCAAATAAAGCCTGTTTTTCAAATTCAGCAAGTTTCCTGAATTTATTATGGTGGTGTTTTTATTTTATTTTTTTCTTTCTTTCTTGATCATTGTTAACTACAACGCAATGTAGCAATGCCACATCAGTGTTGTTGCAACTGTGGCTTGTCGCATGTTGCTAGCAGTTCTTAGTATAGAACTCCTTAAAAGTAGAAAACCATTTATAAAGGGCCCCTGGGTTGTACACACTTCAGGGTGAAGAGATTCTAGGTCTCAGGTAAAAGCAAAGAACAGATAAAAGTGACACAGCAGAGGTGTTTATGTCTGGGTATAAGAGTGGCCAGGCACTGACCAGGCCGGCGGATGGACCCATGATCACCTGCCCACCCACCACATACTTTCCTGTAGTCCACTAAGAAGAGTTTTAGCGTTTTTTGAATGGTTGAAAAGGATCTAAAGAAAGCCTCTTGGCATGTGAACAGTTAGGTACAGTGCAAATCTCAGTGACCACAACTGAAGACATATTAGTTTATGACTTTTGTCTTCCCCTGGGATGGTCCTTGGGAAGACTTTAAATGACTGAATCCCTTCCCAGTGCTAGAGGCCTGTGGGGTCTGGGGTCACGGCTGATGACAGCTCAGGGTATGAGAGCCCACAGGTGTCTGGATGAATGGGGAGGGTCGATCCCTAGTGGGCAACCTTTGTCCCAGGCTAGCTACTGGGAGTGATGGCTGCGGTAGGGGGTCAGCCAGGCAGAGACTCCTTTTGCTGTCCCAGTGACTTCTCAAAGTGATGAGCCAGAGAGAGAGCAGCTGCATAGTCATGTGAGGTCTGTTAGCACCTGGAGGTCAGACAGCGGTGGAAATGCTCCCCTCACAGGCCAGGTACCAGCTGTGCCTCCTGAGAAAGAAGGGCCTGCTTAGCTCCAGGAGAGCTGACAGCAGAAGCAGCTCAGCTGGCATGAATTTGAGTTGGTTTTGTTCCTTTAGTTTTAGAAGCAGAGAAAGATGCCATTTGCACCCACCAGAGATCCACAATGGTTGGGCTGAGCCAACACTGAGTCCTAGCGAACGCAGTCCAGGTGTTCCACACGGCTTAGAGGGACTACACTGAGCTGTTGCCTGCTGTCTGAGTCCGTGCTGGCAGGAAGTTGGAATCCAGAGCCACATGCAGGAAGTAAAACCCCAGCATTGCTCTCAAGGATGTGGGCATCTTTTATTTATTATCATTTTTTAATTGGAAAATCAGATTTGCAGAGAGAAGAAAAGAAATATCTTCCATCCTCTGGCTCACTTTCCCAGTAGCCGCAACGGCCAGAGTTGAGCCGATCCAAAGCTAGGAACCAGGGCCTTCTGGGTTTCCCACATGGTACAGGGTCCCAAGGCTTTTAGATCCATATGAGGTCCATATGAGATCCTGGCCACCAGGCTACAGGGCCAGGCCCAGATGTGGGCATCTATGTCAAATGCCTCACCTGAATGGCCTCTTAAAAAACAACAAATAAATAAATATTTAAGTCACGGCTGTTCAGAAGGATGGATAGTACTAAATTAAGACTTTGATTTCTTGCGCCCGGCGCCGTGGCCTAATGGCTAAAGCCCTTGCCTTGAATGCTCCAGCATCCCACATGGGCGCCAGTTTTAATCCCAGCAGCCCCACTTTCCATCCAGCCCCCTGCTTTGTGGCCTGGGAAAGCAGTCGAATGCCTTGGGACCCTGCACCCACATGGGAGACCTGGAGAAAGTTCCTGGCTCCTGGCTCGGAATCAGCTCCAGTCGTTGCACTGGCCGTTGCGGCTGCTTGGGGAGTGAATCATTGGACAGAAGATCTTCCTCTCTGTATATCTGCCTTTTCAATAAAAATAAATAAATCTTAAAAAAAAAAAAAGACTTTCATTTCTTTAAAAAAAAAAAAAGGGGGGGCGACGGAGCAGACAGGATGGATGGGATATTTGGTGCTCCTGCAATTAAAAAAAAAAAAGGCACACTTTACCACATAATTTTAAAGATGAAAAGGGCCTGGTGTGATGGCTCAGTGACTAAGTCCTCGCCTTGCACACGCCAGGATCCCATGTTTGTTCATGTCCCGACTGCTCCCTGCTTGTGGCCTGGGAAACCAGATGAGGCTGGCCTTGGGACCCTGCACTCACCGGGGGATCCTGGCTTTGGATCAGTTCCAGCAGTTGCAGCCATATGGGGAGTGCACTAACAGATGGAAGATGTTTCTCTCTGTGTCTCTTCTCTGTAAATCTGCCTTTCCAAGGAAAAATAAGAAACTCTTACAAAAAAACAGAGGCCTGAGGCTGGGTACTTTCTCAAGAAAGCAGGATTTTTGACTCAGTCTTGGCAGTGAGAGAGTCCGGCCAGCAGTGTCTGCAGTCTGCCAAAGGCTGGCTGGTCATGTTGTGAGTTGACCAAACTTATCTCAGAAATGGGTCTGAGACAGTCTCTCAGAAGCCCAGGATCCTAGACACTGGCCAGGGCCGACCAGTGGACTGTCCCTTCTAGCCACACGTGCTAGAGCGCAGCCACCCCGATCAGCCATGTTCAATAATCAATCAACTAAGCATCGGTACTTGATGTGAATCATCAGCCAAGCTCACATCGTTGCAAAACAAAATCATCCAATCAACCATAGTGGTGTGGAACATATACCCAGTTTAAGCATCATACACTGTAAAATATCTAATCAGTAAGTCACATCCATCTAGTAATGAACAGCAGAACCAGGAAAGCAGGGCCTTCCAATAGTTTACAAAAAAAAAATTGGTTCAATAGCTTATTGCCTGAGCTGTAAAAGAAAAGCAAGATCCCATTCTGGGCCTAGTGCAATAGCCTACTGGCTAAATCCTCACCCTGCTTCTATCGGGATCCCATATGGGTGCCAGTTTGTGTCCTGGTTGCTTCACTTCCCATCCAGCTCCCTGCTTGTGGCTGGGAAAGCAGTTGAGCACAGCCCAAAGCCTTGGGACCCTGTCCTATATGGGAGATCCGGAAGATACTCCTGGCTGCTGGCTTTGAATCAGCTGAGCTCCAGCTGTTGTGACCACTTAGAATGTAAACCAGTGGATGAAAGATCTTTCTCTCTCTATCTCCTCTCTTTATCTGCATTTCCAATTTTTAAAAGATGAGATAAATCTTTTAAAAAATCTCATCCTGGAATGAAACAAGCACTCTCACTTCTCTTTCCAAGACCCAAGGTTATGGCACAGATCAGGTTATGGACATATCTCAGAAAAGTTTCCGAAGACTAAGCTTTACTGTCACCTTGTTCTGTTGTGTGGGCTGTCACAACTGCATATCAGCACAACGCAGAGGAGAGGGAGGTGGCTGCAGCAGATGAGCCAAGCCATGGGGCGAGAACTTGGTGGGTTCCAAGAGAGCCACGTTAATCCCTTGCAAGGTTGATGTCCCTGACCACTGTGCTCCATGGCTTTTTCTTTTTAGATTTAATTTGTTCTCATTACAAAGATATACAGAGAGGAAGAGAGACAGAGAGGAAGATCTTCTGTCCAATGATTCACTCCCCAAGTGACTACAACTGCCAGAACTGAGCCAATCCGAAGCCAGGAGCCAGGAGCTTCCTCCAGGTCTCCCACACGAGTCAAGGTCCCAAGGTTTTGGGCCGTCCTCAACTGCTTTCCCAGGCCACAAGCAGGGAGCTGGATGGGAATTGGGGCTGCTGGGATTAGAACCAGTGCCCATATGGGATCCCAGAACATTCAAGGTGAGGACTCGAGCCACTAGGCCACGCCGCCAGGCCCTCCATGTCTTTTTTTTTTTTTTTTTTTTTTTTTGAAAGGCAGGGCCTGGCATGGTGGCCTAGCAGCTAAAATCCTCACCTTGAAAGCACCAGGATCCCATATGACGCCTGTTCTGTTCCCAGCAGCTCCACTTCCCATCCAGCTCCCTGCTTGTGGCCTGGGAAAGCAGTCAAGGACGGCCCAAAACTTTGGGACCCTGACTCGTGTGGGAGACCTGGAGGAAGCTCCTGGCTTCTGGCTTCGGATTGGCTCAGTTCTGGCTGTTGTGGTCACTTGGGGAATGAATCAATGAACAGATGATCTTCCTCTCTGTCTCTTCTCCTCTCCATATCTGTCTTTGCAACAAAGATAAATATGTTTCTAAAAGTGTTTTTGAAAGCCAAAGTTACACAGAGGAGAGACAGATCCTCCACTAATGGTTAGCACCCCAAGTGGCTGCCACACCTGGAGCTGAGCCAGGAGCCCTTTCCACGTCTGTTACGTGGGTGCAAGGGCCCAAGTCCTTGGGTGATCCTCTGCTGTTTTATCAGGGTATAAGTAGGAAGCTGGATTAAAAGTTGAGCTTCCAGGATACAATACAAACAGGTACCCACATGAGCAGGTAGAAGCTTAGCCTACTATGCCACGGAGCCAGCACTTTGCCTTCCGGCTCTCCTCCTTGAAGATCCACCTTCTCAGAACTGTGACTGAAGTCCAAGCCGCTACCACATAACCTCCGGGGGCACTTGCAAACTGTCCAACTCAGGGTGTGGTTGATTGAATTAAATCATTCTTTACTCAGAAGTCTACTGGCCATTATCCATAAGGTAATATCCTACCCATTTCTTGGCTAGGCCAACAGAGTGTAGTGAAAGGACGCTTTAAAAAAAAAAAAAAAGAATGCTCCCTCTCTTTTTAAAAAGATTTTTAAAGATTTAATTTATTTTTAAAGGAAAAGGAGATTTTACAGAGAGGAGAGACAGAAAGATCTTCCATCCATTGGTTCACTCCTCAAGTGGCCACAACAGCCAGAACTGAGCCAGTCTGAAGCCCAGAACCTCTTCCAGGTCTCCCACGCGGGTGCAGGATCCCAAGGCTTTGTGCCATCCTCGACTGCTTTCCCAGGCCACAAGCAGGGAGCTGGAAGGGAAGTGAAGCAGCTGGGAAACAAACCGACGCCCATATGGGATCCAAGGCAAGGATTTAGCCACTGAGTCATCATGCTGGGTCCAAAAGGCAGATTTTTTTTTTTACAGAGAGAGAAGGAGAGACAAAGAGAGGAAGATCTTCCATGTGCTGGTTCAC